AAAAAAAAGCCTGAACAAAGTTAATCACATTACATTTTTCCATCATTAGTGAATCTATGAGTCACTTAGCATAGTGTATGACTGTGTAGCTGTTTTTTCAATATCCAAGTACAGCCGCTGTACAAATTTGGAAACACCCTATAGCTTGTGCTCACTGGGTAAACCTTTTTCTTTGCTGGGTCTAGGAGCCGTTCTGCGATTGTAAGTTACATTACACCAAGGGCTGTCAAATCGATCGATAAATCTGTAGTAGAATAAGATACAAGACACCAGGAAGATCCATCTTCGATAAGTCCTGATATTTTTTTTAGCAGCAGATCCCACTTATCCATCAGCAGGCAGATGTACAAGTCATCCTGGCGTTTCTGTGAATTGCTTCTGTAGTGTAAACTTCGCATTGCATAAATGAACAGATATCAGCTACAGGAAATAGGATGAAGTCATCTCCTAACTGTGAGAAGGTTCCCGTAATAGAACTTATTGTATGACACTTCTTTTCAAACTGGTTTCCTGGAAGATCCCTACCTTTCACACTGCACAAGACAAATTAACACACTTATCCTCTGGGTACAGATGAACATATTTGCTACCGCCTTTGTCAGAGGAAAATCAAAAAGTAAAAAATCCTGGGGTTCTAGCAGCAAATTAAAAAGGATACTAAAATACAGCAGATATATCAAATGTAGCTTTTGGTGTTCTGATGTTCTTGATTATCTTGACAGGTCAATACCTAATACACAAATATGGTTTAATATTGTATGTATTTGAAAGACTCCCATATTTTGTTGAATGGTGGCTGCACCATTAATACATAACATATTAATAAACTGCCAAATATTAACAGTGTTTTCTTTAGATTACTGTACATTACAAACACTGTTACTTGTAATTATAATGAGCTGCTATGAATCTTTTCTCATTACTAATTACTATAAATACCTCACTGTCACAGTGAAGTTTTCGCTTTGTATACTATAGTACTCTCAATTATCCAAATAGTTCAAACCTGAAGGCATTTTTTAAACAAATAGCTTAAGCAGTTGGTCTCCATTCTGTATTAAAGTTAAATTAGCCAATCTCTTACTATTTACAGTCATACTGTCACTGACATGGCAGTTTACATGGAACCAAGAATTAAATTATCTACACTCAAACATTTTTGCTAACATCTTCCCCTGGACGCACAACTGTATCACCAGTATCACATATGGTGTGTCCTGAACAGCTCAGATTTTGAAATTTGCCGCCACATTCAAAGTTCAGATAACCGCTAAAGCCCTTTGAAATTTTTACTAGATACACAATTTCTCCTACGATACCTGTCCTTTCCCTCACCTGCATTACCTGTTTCTTATGTGATTCACTGTTACAGACAGATGCTTCAATTTCCAATACTGCATTTTAAACTCTCTTGACTATTTAAAACTCGTCTGGTCTGTCTGTACCACCAAGTCCAGGTCCTTATGCTCCGTTTGTTTTTCACTCTTAGTGGTGTGCAGTGGGGTTTTCTTGTATCCTCTCTCATTTTTTTTTAAATGTTTTGTTGATTTGTACTACACATTTCGCTTTCCAAACCTTATTTTATTTATTCTTGCATTTTCTTTTTCAGACCATTGCAGCAAAGCAGACTACTGTACTGTCTTTAATTAGTTAGAATGGCTATAGTGCTGCCTCTTTTAGACTGACAGACTGACTGGCATTGGAGAAAAGCAATACATTCTTCATGTTCATTGTGCTGCTCATCAGCCTGCCAGCTACTTACAGTAGGTTGCAGAAAGGCAGAAGAAGTCAACATATTTTTGGACTGTTTTGGATTGCACATGCTATAGGTGGGTGAAATCACAGGAACGTTTTTACTTTATATGCAGTGAGTATTTTCAGACGTATTCTTGTTGTCTCCTTAGGGAATGTGTTTTTTATTCAGTACATTTAGTGTGTTTTATGTTTTTGTTGAATCCTTTTAGTCTTAAGGTTAAGGTTTTTAAGGTGTTCAAGGGGACATGATCAAAGCATTCAAAATCCTCAAAGGCACTGACAACTAGTTAACCCAGTGAACGTCTTCAGGATCAGCAGTGAAACACAGATTAGAGGTCACAAGTGGAAACTACACAGAAATGCGTTTAAATCTGGAGAACAGGAGGCACTTTAAACAAAGAGTTGTGAGA